CCACAAGATCTGTTTCTGAATTACAGATGTTTTCTTTACATTATTTAACAATGTACACTGTAAAAATAAAATAAAAGGAATTCAAACCTTGGGCTTCCCTGGCCGTAGTTAATGGTATGTTTTGCACTAAATCCAGGCATTGCGCTTCATGTACAATTGCGCTTTGTGCTGCAGTTTGTTACCTTCTTTGTAGATATTTAATGAAATCATTCAAATAAACCAAACCTGCTTTTGTTGAGCTGTAGTATTTCATTTTCAGTTGGCATTTGCTTCTCTCAGTGCCCTGAAGCTGAACTGTCAAGTGAGCCCCTGCTGCTGTCAGCCACACTTACAGGACAGATGGTTCATCCATTCTGAAGCCAGGGCTGCAATCTGGCCGGAAACCCATCTGGGTACGGCCAAGATGAAGAATGCTACGAAGTAGTTATTTGAGCTCAGAGAAGAGCCGTGTCTTCAACCAATGGTTATACTATTACTTGAAAGACTTAGACTCCTGGTCCCAACAAAGACCCCTTTTATTAATTTGCTGTGAATTCTACTCATTCACATTCAGCGAAGTCTTTCAAGGGAGGATTTACAGTCACAGACCTTATCTGGCTTGGAGAGCTGCAGAACTTGGCAAGGAGTCTCAAAAGAGTCATGAACCAATTAAGCCAACTAATTGTCTCCTGCAAACTCCACTCCCCTTTCGCTCCTCTTTTATTTCCTCTGGGAGGGGCTCTATCGTCCACATGTGGCCTTTCTCCCAAATCGACCCGTTCTTTAGCTGTTCCCTTTGTCTGGCAATTCTGTGCATGCACACACTGGGAACAGGCCCCAGCTGTTCGTCTGCCTCACTGATGTCTGACTCTGAAGGCAGCTGATAACTGGCAAACAGCTTTGGCCCCCTCTCTGCCTCCGACAGAGCCTTTCCCAGACTCCAGGACTGGCCCATGTTCCTCCCTAACAACCTCACTATCCAATCTGGAAGGAAATGGTTTCAAAGATTGAAGTTTTTAATTTTTTAAAAAAAATATATTTTTGGTTAAACAGACAAACACAACACAAAAATCATCTTCTGTTACATATTATAGAAGTGTGTCGATTGGTTACAAATAACTTTTGTGCATCTCTTCCACAGTCATTACTTATAGTTCATATCACATT